ATCGCCTAAGATATTCCAAATTTGAGTATATGGCTGAGGCAACAAACCGACCAGGTAGACTAGAAGTAAACTACATAAGATTTGAGTCAAACGACAAGTGAGTCACGATTCACTCAATAAAAACAAATTATCAGGTGCAACTCATATACCATAAGTGGGACAGATGCTGGTGCGGAGCGGAGCCCACGAGCGGCATGGAGCGGAATGATCTGTCCAATCGAGGGAGTTTTTTTATATGGGTTGGGAGTGCGGGGGCAACATCCCGTTGTTTGGTACAGTGGTAATTTAAGTAATTATATATTGTACTATAAAAGTTATATATATGTGATGTTTGTAACCCTGGGTGAGGTTGAGATTCAGAATCTTGTATTCTGTACTCTTTTCTGAATATTGAAAGGGAAGTCACCGCTCTGCTCCTGATGACGCAGACATCTTTGTTGAACCTCATAAATATCTGTGTTCTTCTGGATTTGTGTCGATTCCTATTTTTCTTTTCCCTAATTTCTCAACACAAATCAACACATCAGTCTACCAACCGACTTACCGAAGTGTAAACAGAAGCCCCCTGATCGCGATTGGACGACTGACCTGTTGCTCTTGTCGAGACACACAAGATCATCATTCGACCGAACGCCTCGACCGATCAAACACAATGCACGATCGCCACTCAATCGATGGCCTTAGTCTGGCGGCTTCCAACAAATGGATAAACCAAATACTGTTATATCAAAATTTAAATTCTAACACATACACGAAATGCAATCTAAACAATTTATTAGAGAATTAATCATATTAAAGAATGATTTTCATAACTATTACATTCTTTCTGTAATTGTACAAAATTTATTATTATAAATAAGAGATAAAAGAACGACAAGATGAGACATGTTATTTAGACTCTCTTGGTTCCCTACATAGCAACTCTTGTTTCACTTTTTCTCCTCTTTCACTCGACTCTAACTCTCAAGCAGTTTTCGCAAAAGACAATCCAAGATCCAACTAAACTAAAACTAATAATATTTTTGATATGATATGAAAGATTTGAGTGATATAAATATAAAGAGCAAAAGTTTAAATTTTATGTATGCAAATACATTTGAATTGGGCAGAACATATGCAAATGCCCAATTCGATAATTATATAACGAAAGAACAAATTAGATGGCCCTCTTTCACTAACCAAACTAATTAAAAGTATTCATCAATGGATTCTCGTTGTCATGCACCATGATATGTTGGCCAATACATCAGCTAAAAAATAAGAAATCTTTGGCATATAACCAAAAAAAAAAAAACAAAAAACAAAATAAAGCTAATATTAATAATTTGAGTCAACTAAACTAACAAATACACAAAATTAAGAAAAAAAATATGGTTTTCATAGATTGTTAAGGATGTTCAATTCTCGTAGCCTTCTTCTCCTCTGCATCATCAAGATAATGTTGATAAACATAATTAACAAATCCTAAAATTGAAATCAATAAAGCCACGACCTTTACTCCATCCATCCTATCATGGAAGAAAACCACCGCAAGGATTGGTACCAGAGGAGTAGCCAGGGTTCCAATCACATTCGCAAATAGAGAAGAAACCTGAAAGATCAAACCCACATTCCCCACAGAGTACACCAACCAGCAAATCGCAATCCAAATCAATGTCATCACATACGTAACCTTTCCCTTCTCCGACCCTGCAAACTCCTCACGAATCCCCCTCCACTCCCCGCTTGCGAAAAGTCCGGCCACCGACGAAGCTGTAGAGACTAATCCGGTCCACAAAATCATTTCCAGGACAACGGTGAAGGTCTCGGACTTTATAACCTTCTGGTAAGCCAACTGGGTGAGGGAGAGAACAAGGGAGAAACCAGCAGATGCCGCCAGTGTTAGAGCTAGTCCAATTGAATACTTATGGCCGGAAACCGAGCCGCCTTCAGAGTGAACGCCGAGGAGAGCGGCGGCGGTGGTGAGGAGAATGATGGAGTTGAAGATGAAAGGAGTGAACTTTTGGGAGTTGAGGAAATAGGAGAAGACGGCATTGAAGGCAAGTTGTGTGGCGCAGACGAGGGAGTAGGTGGAGACAGGGAGGTAGAGGAGGCCATAAGCGTACATTAGATTGTTTCCGGTGGTAAGGAGGCCTAGACTGATGTAAATTGCGGCGAGTTTGACGATGGAGGGGCGGTGCACGGCGGCGGTGGACGACGGAGGAAGGAGGAGGAGAAGGGGGATAATGAGGGGAAAACCGGCGGAGGGGGTGATGGTGGCCATCCACACGCTCTTTCCGCCCTGGTTGTAGTAGAAGCGGCCGAGGAGGTTGCCGGAAGTATGGCCAGCAAGGATTAAGAAGCTGTAGAAGAAGAGGAGGAACCACCATTGCCAATTTGTGAGCTTGGAAGAAGATTGGGGTTGAGCGAAAGCTGCCTCCTGTGAGGATGATGATGTTGGACGCGCTTCCTCTGGAGCAAAAAATTGCAGAGTTTTAATCAAATGAGATCTAATGCTTAGAACAAAGCTCTTTAGCTTAATTTGAAACATTATGGTAGCAGTTTGGTTGCAAAATTTAGCTATGGATCCTATCTAATTAATTATATCTTTGTATTCCTAAGAAGAAAATAAATCAAACATTAAAGAAGGAGAAAAGGCTGGGGGTTAGGATTGTAGAAAAATAAAGAGGTTATAACGAAGCTGAAAACCTCTGATATGGAGCTGTATTTCTGGAGCTTCTCCCATGCTGAAGCTCTTCTCTCTGATATGAAAGAAGAAGAAGAAGAAGAAGAGAGTGCAAGCTACCTGCTGCTTTGCTATGCTCTGTAATTGTAGTCTAGTAGAAGAGAGAGACAGAAGAGTATTGAAGCAGACATTCTTGACTGGAGAAAACTTATACCGTTTTAGGATGATGCCAACTTTTCAAAACGCACGAAGCACAAAATGCGGTCCATCCTTCGCTGTGACGTCTATCAAACGGTAAAGCAGGCACTCTTACAATGCACCGAATTTTTTTATCAACCGTAGTCCCAATACACAAATAAATATTAGTATAATGAAATAATGTCACCTGTCCCAATACACAAATAAATATTAGTATAATGAAATCATGTCACCTGGATGTTAGCAAAAAAAAAATCGTTTTAGCACAGAAAAAAATTCTTATGTATTATTCTGTATTATTCAGGTCTTATTGTGATGATATTCATGTATTATTGTGTTCTGTGAATATCCCGGCGTTATAATAGCACAATAACACATCAATACTACCACAATAACAATTGAATAACGCGGAATAACACAGGAGGAATAGTCCCGTGTTACCTGGACAGATTACAAGAAAACGAGTATTTTTTTTTCTGTCATGGAGTTGATTCATTGGACTCCGAATGCATCTCTACGTTCAGAGACCGAACCTAATAATCCACTTCTATCTCCAACACTTCGCTTTTGTCTTTCAAGATGTACACCCAAATGTATTTGGAGTAATCATTAGGATTTAGGATTTAGAGATAAAACAACTTCACTTGCTAAATGATGTGGTCTTTGACAGTTTTTTTGCATTTCATTTTAATTAAATTTTTTTTAATAATAAATGCGAGTTTTTAAATTTTGGAGCTTTCCGTTGGGTTTAGGGACATTAGCTTTAAACAGCTTCTACAGTGCTAATGATTTTCACATTATTCTCATCACATTCCTATAATTATTTAATATTTTAGGGCTGCATCTTTTGTATAATACTGATTCATATTATTAATTCACATATTAATGTTTAATTTATCCTTGCAATTAATTTTATGATATTTTTCATATTAATTTTACATTGAAATTACCCATATAATAGATAACATTAAACTATTACATTTTATTTAATATATATAAATAATTAATTTGATATAGTTGACGCACGTTTCTTTGTTGTCATTTTACATATAAATGTGAAGTCATGCAATTATTGAATTTTCCAAAATGCTGCAAGTATTCAATGAAAAGGAGTTGTGGGTCTCCCTCAAGCATTTACTTAGAAGTTAGGCTCATCGACTTGATTTGTGATTGCATGAATCCATAGACTTGACTGCTGAATCTGAAAGTCTGACCCGATATTTCTGATTAAGTGCCGCTATATTTGAATCTGAATGTACGAATATCATGTTTTATATTTAAATTTTATTCAATTTTTTTTAGGAAGATTTACATGCATATCACTTAATTTTTATGTATATACTTATCCAACATTTAAAGTTGTATATATTTCATGTATTAAAATTTAAAATAGTGATTTTTTTTGATGTGATATGATCACATGAAAGATTTGGGTGGCATAAATGTTAAAAGCAAAATTTAGATTGTGGATATGTAAATATAAAGAATTGAGTGGTTTGTATGTAAATGCCCCTTTATTTACTATACATTTCTCTATCTGAGACCGCACAACCCTCCTCCCACTTAGCTCTTTCGTAATTTCTCTACGAGAGGCCGCACAATCCTCCTCTCCATGGGAGCTCTCCTGCAAAATGAAACCCTCTCCCACTGAGATCTTTCACCATTTTTTCTGCCAGAGGCTGCACGACGCTTTCCCACTGAGCTCTCACACCATTGTGGGCTCAAAAAATTCGGCTCCCAGACTCTCATGGAGAGCTTAATGTGTCATATGGAAGATGAAATAGTATATAAGACACTAACTAGAGATTTCACCCTAATTTTATAAAGAATTTATGATACGAAGTTCTAGGTTTTCCATAAGCGCAAGCCCCCTATGTTTAATTACTCCTCCCGAAAAAGTGAGAGCACTCTTAATTAAAGCTAGTTATTTGATGTTGAGTATTCAGATTAAACATATAATAACAACAAATTAAAAAGTTTAAATTATAAAATTATCACTGTTAGCTAAAAAGTGGATGGTGGGGGGAAATGATGATGAATCTGATCATGATTCCATGATTCAACCACCCGGGTTGTCATGTGTTATAATTTTTTATTTATGATTCACATTTATTTTAATAGCTTATGAGATTTATTTTGATAACTTAATTTATTTATTTAACTTATAACTTATGTCATAAATTATGATAACTTATGATATTTATTTTGATAACTTAAGTTATTAATTTTCTTACTCATAACTTATGTCATAATAACTTATGATATTTATTTTTGTAACTCATGATAACTTAAGTTATTAATTATCTTAACACATAACTTATGTCATAACTTATGATATTAATTTTATAACTCATGTAATCTCTTAAATGAATAAGAGTTACTAACTTGTGTCATTGATTTTAATAATAAAAAAATAAATTAATTTATTAAATTATTATAAATCCTATTGGTTTGTAACCCCCATGATGGATGGTGGTTGAATAAAGCATGATTTAGAGAGTGAGTCATCTCTCTTCCCAACACACCCCGTACATTTCTCTCCATCAGAAAGTACAGAAAGTTTCAAGGAATTAGAGAGAGAAACTCCATCTCTTAAAAATCAAATTTCTTCAGGTTAAAATTTCTTCATTATGAATACAGGTATGTGTTACTTTATTATAGATATGTAAAAAACATGAATTTAAAAGATCTTGGCTATTATGTATTTTTTTTTTGAAATTTGTGTCATAAAGTTCAAACATAAATTTCTAACATGTGGTATCAGAGTCTTGATTAATAAATTTATGATTTTTCATATAAATGTATTAATGTTAATTGTAATAAATTTTCGCTATGAATTAGATCTTGAATTAGATCAATAAAATTAAAGTAAATTGATGTGCTTGAAATTATTATTTATTTAATGTCTATGCTATGTTTAATTTGTTAGTCACCAAAGTAATCAAATTAATAAGTTTAATAGACGTTAAATAAACTAATTTCAATTACTCACGAGTATGTGATGCTTTTTATGAAATAATTTAACATTTCATTAAAAAAAATTTAAAATTCATTAATTATAAAATATTTTTAGATCACCCAAATGTTGATCATTTGTTTTATAATTTTTGAATATAATTGTTGTCTGTTTATATACTTAGTTAATATATGTTTATATATCCAAAGATAATTGACATGTCTGATTTGAGTATAAACAATTACTAATTATTTTAAATTTAAGTCAAACATCAATTATGATTATTATCGTGTATTGTTATATCACCCAAAAAAGATTTCAATACACTATTATTATTATAATTAGTACAATTAGTATTTTAATATGATTTTATATGAATATCTATGTAAGTTAAATGCTTGAAGCATTAATGTACGAGCATGTTTTATTTATTTGCAATAACTACTGTTTATTCTTTTCATTCGCAAGCTACATGTGTTGAAACTTTCAATGGGCTTAATTTCTCTGAATGGCGTGAGCAAGTCCAGTTTCACCTTGGTGTTCTGGATCTTGATTTATCACTTACGACTGAGAAACCCCCTGCTCTTACTGATTCTAGCAGTGCCGAGCAAATATCTTTCTATAAATCTTGGGAAAAATCGAACAGATTAAGCTTAGTGTTTATGCGAATGACTGTAACAAACAACATAAAGTGTACATTTTCTAACACAAAAAGTGCTAAGGAATTTATAAAATTTGCTGAGAATTGTTCTCAGTCTGACTCTGCTGATAAGTCTCTTGCTGGGACACTATTTAGTACTTTAACCAACATGAAATTTGATGGTTCTTATATTATGCATGAGCATGTTGTTGAAATGACAAACATAGCAACAAGACTTAAGACCCTGAGAATGGAAGTGAATGAAAATTTCATTGTGCAATTTATCATTAACTCATTGCCTCCTGAGTATAATCAATTTCACATGAACTATAACACTATGAAAGATGAGTGGAATGTGAATGAACTACAATGCATGCTCATTCAAGAGGAAGCAAGGCTTAAGAAAGGAGCAAATCACTCTATTAATCTCATGGGTCACCAAAGAAGAGCTGTAAAGAAACTTGGAAAGAAAAATGGAAAGGGCAAGCAATGACCACTAAAGATTAATGTGTCGTCTACCCCAATTCACAAAGAGGAACATAAAGGAATTAAGTGTCAGAAAGCCTGGACACTATCACAATGAGTGTCAAAAGCGCAAAAACTGGTTTGAAAAGAAAGGTAAACCTTGTGTTTCTGTATGTTTCAAATCAAATTTGACAGAAGTTCTTTATAATACCTGGTGGATTGATTTTGGTTGTACCACTCATGTTTTTAATACGATGCAAGGATTCCTTCCAACCCAAATCATAAAACCAAATGAAAAGTTTGTCTTTATGGGAAACCGATTCAAAGCGCCAGTTGAAGCTATTAGAATCTATCGGTTGATTTTAGAAACTGGACATCATTTATACCTTTTTCTAACACTTTATGACCCATCTGTTTCTCTCAATTTGATTTCGTTATCTAAACTTGGTTCTATTGGATACTCATTTAAATTTGGAAATGTTTGTTTCAGTTTATTTAAACACAATCATCTCATAGGTTATGGTATTCTTTGTGATGGACTATATAAGCTTAAACTTGATAACCTTTTCTCTAAAACTTTGATGACTTTGCATCATAATATTGGTATTAAACGTGATTTTATGAATGAAAGTTCAACTTATTTATGACATAAGCGTTTGTCAGGGTCGACCCTAAAGCCAAGTAATCCTATAGGGACTCTTCTTGAATTCTCTTATAATGATCTTACCTACTAAATGCTAGAGGTTAAGATCAATATGTGGAATTTCAAGCTGAGTAAAAAGAAGAGTTTTGAATTTCTAATGGTGGGGTACCTCTTCTAATTTTCTAAGACTAGTCAATAGGAAAGTCCTATGGCTAGACCTAGGCTACTAAAGAAGTTTTCTAGACCTCAACCAAAAGTGAGGTCAACAGGTATGTCTACTTATTGCATCAAAAATCTAAAACTATAGATGTCTTAAAGGTGTATATAACTGAGGTTGAGAAACAATTAGACAGAAAAGTGAAAATTATCAGGTCTGACAGAGGCGGTGAATATTATGGAACTTACAATGAACCTGGACAATGTCCAGGTCCATTTGCTAAATTTGTTCAAACTAATGACATATGTGCTCAATATATTATGCCAAGAAAACCACAACAAAATGGTGTTGCAGAAAGGTGAAATCGTACTCTAATGGAAATGGTTAAAAGTATGATGAGTAATTCCTCTTTACCCTCATCATTATGGATGTATGCTTTAAATACCGTTGCATATTTGTTAAACATGATTCCTAGTAAGGCAGTTCCAAAGACTCCTTTTGAACTGTGGACAGGAAGGAAACCTAGTTTAAGGCACCTGCGTGTTTGGGGTTGCCCAGCGGAAATAAGGTTATATAATCCACATGAAAAGAAACTGGACTCAAGAACAACCAGTGGTTTCTTCATTGGTTATCCAGAAAAATCTAAAGGGTATAGATTTTATTGTCCTAATCACAGTACAAGAATTATTGAAACTGGAAATGCTAAGTTCATTGAAAATGGTGAAGTTAGTGGGATTTGGAACCACATAAAGTGGAGATCCAAGAAATTAGAATTCAAGTTCCTTTACCCAAAATTTCTTTTCAAGTTATTATTCCTACAGTTGTTGAACAGTTTAACAACTTACAAGAACAACAAATATATGATCAAACACCCCATAATAAAACTGTCACTAATAAATCCGCATTAGATGAACCACATGAAGTAGTACCTAGAAAATCTTAAAGACAAAAATGGTTTACTATTTTTGATGATTATGTGGTTTATCTACAAGAATCTGAATTTGACTTAGGAGTCAATGAATATCCAATTTCATTAATGATAACCCAATTTCATTTTCACAAGCCATAAAAAGTGCAATTTCTTCTAAATGGTTAGATGCAATGAAAGATGAGTTAAAATCAATGAATCACAACAAAGTCTAGGATATCGTTGAATTGCCTGAAGTATTGTCTGAAGTTTGTAAAAGAGTCGGGTGTAAATGGGTCTTTAAGACTAAGCGTGACTCAAATGGTAATATTGGAAGATATAAGACCAGACTTTTTGCCAAAGGTTTCACACAGAAAGATGACATCGATTATAAACAAACATTTTCTCCAGTTTCTAAGAAAGATTCAATTATAATTATAATGACACTAGTAGCTCATTATGATTTAGAGTTACACCAAATGGATGTGAAAAATGCATTTGTGAATGAGAATTTAGATGAAGATGTCTACATGAGTCAACCTGAAGGATTTTCGGTTGAAGGAAAAGAACACATGGTGTGTAAACTTAAGAAATCAATATACAGACTTAAGCAAGCTTACTGACAATGGTATCTTAAGTTCAATGATACCATCACTTCCTTTCGATTTAAAGAAAACACTGTTAATCGATATATATATATGAAGGTTAGTGGGAGCAAGATAATATTTCTCATTTTGTATGTTGATGATATCTTGTTGGCTACTAATGATCTTGGCTTATTGTCTGAAACCAAGAATTTTCTTTTTAATAACTTTGAAATGAAAAATATGGGCGAGACATCCTATGTGATTGGAATTGAAATATTTTGTGAAAGATCACAAGGATTGTTAGGATTGTCTCAGAAAGCATATATTGATAGAGTTCTTAAGATATTCAACATGGTAGGGTGCTCTGCAAGTGTTGCTCCAATTCAGAAAAGAGATAAATTCAGCCTTATGCAGTGTCCAAATAATGATTTGGAACGTAAACAAATGAAAGAAATTCCTTATGCATCTATTGTTGGAAGCTTAATGTATGCTCAGACTTGTACCAGACTAGACATTAGCTTTGCTGTCGGGATGCTGGGCAGGTATCAAAGTAATACAGATCAAAGTAATCCAGGAATAGATCATTGAAAAACTGCAAAGAAAGTTTTGAAGTACCTGCAAGGAACATATGACCACATGCTCACTTATAGAAGATCTAATGATCTTGAAGTGATAGGATATTCAGATTCAGATTTTGTTGGTTGTGTTGATACCAAAAAATCAACATTTGACTATTTGTTCCTTTTGGTTGAATGAGCAATCTCATGGAAAAGTGCGAAGCAGTCCATCATTGTTGCATCCACTATGGAAGCTGAATTTGTTGCATGCTTCGAAGCTACAATTCAGGGATTATGATTGTGAAACTTTATTTCAAGAATTGATAACTCCGCAACAGTCTTCTTTTCTAAAAATAACAGGTATTCCAAAGGTGCTAAACACATGGAATTAAAGTACCTTGACGTTAAAGAAGAAGTTCAGAAACATAGAGTGTCAATTGAGTATATTAGCACCAACCTTATGATTGTAGATCCATTGACGAAAGAGTTGCCACCACAGACATTTAACGAACATGTTGTGAGAATGGTCATTACCGAAACCCTTTATTAGTTTTATGTTTAGTGTTCTTTATGTTTGATACTTTGAGCTCAGTTTCTTGTTTCTGATATTTATGTATCTTGTTTTATCGCTAGTGTACACTTTATGTTGTGCGATGTTTAATAAGATTTATCTTTTAATAAATATTATGAGACCATGATGTTATTTCTCATTATGTTAAGTGTGCAATTGATATTGTGATACATGGAAGGAACAATGTCGATAAATTGATATACAACCGCCATGATTCATATTAATTTCATACTTATTGATGATTTATGATTTGAGCAATATAAAGAAGGATTTTAACATACATTTATGCAGTATGTTATGCACTATTAAGTATTACGTGAGCCATGTGGGAGAATGTTAGTTTTTCATTATTTTAATTATGTGACTTATTGTCATTTATTTTAATAATAATTAATTAATTAAATAAAAGGAAGAGGGTCATGTTTATTCCAAATAGACAACGCATCCATTCAGTTTAAATTAATTAATTAATTCAATTATCCTAAAGAAGAGGGTCATGTCTCTTCCAAATAAACAACGCATCCATTCGGTTTAATTAATTAATTAATTCAATTATCCTAATGAAGAGTAATGTTTCTTCACAAAAGACATCATATCCTTTCACTTTAATTAATTAATTAAATTATCTTAAATCGTATTGGTCAATAATCATCATGATGGATGGTGGTTAATAATGAATAATTAAGAGAAAAGTTGTCTCTTCTCAAGAGACTTATATTTTCTCTTATAAGTAAGAGAAGGGTCATCTCTCTCCCAAGATGAAATG